TTATCTAAGCATGAAACAGTACATGATCTTCTGCAGGACATGAACCCCCATATCAGCGGGTGGGGGAATAATTAACACAAATAGCATTTGGAGTGTGCCATGATCCCATGATGTCTTTACAAAAGCCCAGTCAGAGGAAGTGATTATAGTCCTTAGTTTACAGAGTTAGGAGCCAAGACACTGAGGTTTAGACAACTTGTCCAAGATCACTCGAGCTGCAAGTGACAGAGCAGAACTTGAACTCTAAGTTGACCTCAAAGGCAAATGCTCTTCTGCTATAAACCTGCAACAGTTAAAACAGTTGACTAAAGCACACAAGAGCTATTGTAAATGTTAAAACCACATTTATAGACACCTATTATGAATCTAAGATGGGAGTTCAATTTATTAATCAATTCATGTCAGTTACTTGACAGCTACTTTGCAGGTAGGAAAGATTTTCTAATGGATGACTAAGAATTTTGTGTGCTTTAGTTTTTTAAATTTTGTATACCATCTTTTAAAACCAGAAACAAGAACACACTCTTATCCTTATGAAGGTAGCATGACAATCATAAGACTCTAGGTTTTCATCTGAACAAGCTTGGTCAGGATCAACAAAACACATAATAGTGTTTTATGGGCATGAACTTTGGATATGGAATGAAAATAAGGCCATCTTAATGATTATACTCCTTAATTATACATATATAATGTATTACACATGTAAAATATGTAATACACAAAGTGTAATTTATAATATATAATTAAGCATATTAAATACTAATTATGGCAAAAACTCATGAAATTTTTTCTTGAAAAACTTTCAATATTTCATGTCAATAAATCTACAACATCTGTATATCTGTGTTTTTCCAGTGACAGGTACAAGGTATTTGTAGACTTATTTAATCTTTCAACATATCTGGTTCCCCGACACTGGATACCGAAGATGAACCCAATTATTCATAAATTCCTTTACACGGCTGAATATTGCGACAGCTCTTACTTCAGCAGTGATGAATCAGATTAAAATCATCTGCAAAAGTCTATGAAGACCTGGGTTTCTCAGTCTGTGTTTTTAAAAATTTTCTATGACATTTCATGATACACCAAGTGTCCTAATGTAATATATGTATATACGTAGGTAAGCATTGTGGTACTCTGATGATTCAATCCTGGAAATAATTTTATTAACTCATTTTTGTAATGATGAATTAAAGGAATTAATTCAGTTAAGTTGTAACATTGTACATAGAAGGTTTTCCTATTAAAAACTCAATGTCCCCTGATAATTACACCTTAAGGTGAACCATTTAACATAATCATTATCTCATTTCGTACTTTAATAAGCATGAAACTTCAGTGATTTCAAATATTTTATGCAATAAAATGTGTCATTCTATACAAAGTGTTACAGACAAAAAAAAAGAATTTAAGAAATAGTAAGAATTCATCTTTCTGCCATGTATTGTTTTCGAAACATTGCTTGTATTTATTAGGACTCTCGATGACCAATGACAGAAATCTATCTGAAACTTGCCTAGAAGGGACTTGGCAGGCAATTACCCCACTAGCTCAAAGAATTAAGAAGAGCCTGGAGATCCAGTTCCTGGAGAACTATATTCCTGGAACTTTTGAGGATCCTCTGTGTCTCATCTCTCCTTTTCTGTAGGTGTTGGCTTCATTCTTCCGTATCCTAAGCCAGCTGGGCGAGGTCCCTGCTTCCAGAACCTCTGGACCAGAAAGCCAAAGGTGCTCGTCCCAGCACTAACGCTTGTGGTCTGGGAGGTAGAGTCATCGTAGGATTGAAGTTGAACTGAGTGACGGTTTCCTGAACTTTCCAGGAGAAAGGAGGAGAAAACAGACTAAACAGTGATTCAGTTCACTTCTAATAACAAGTATTAGACCAAGAGTTTGGATCAGACAGGAGATTTAATCTTTTTCTAGATTGCCTGGATATTGGCAATACTTACTGAAATTTCTCTTATTAAGGAAATGCAAAATATTATCAAAAGGATCTAAATGCCTACCAGCCTTGATCTAGGGTGATTATCTATAAGCAAGCAGCAAATTCTTGATGGAATTGAACTACTCTTTGTCTCAGTTACAAGTTTTTTCTTATAAGGATCATGTTGTCTAGTTTGGCTCTAGATATATATAGAATTGCTTTTACCTACAAGGACCTATGGTGTGTGTGTGTGTGTGTGTGTGTGTGTGTGTGCACACGCATGTGCTCATGAACATAGTACCTGACTGTGGCTAAGCGCTAAAAATTATAGAGACAAGTAAAATGGTGGCTAAAAGCAATGGCTCTGAAATCAGTGGGCTTGGGAGCAAATTCTGGCACTGCCATTTACTAACTATCTGCACTGGTGCAAACTCAGGTTTAAGCTCCAGCTTACTATCTATATGACAGGGATAAAAATACTTACCTCAATCTCTGCTTCTTCTCATGCAATAAGGAAAAAAAATGTTAGCAGATGCTCTGTCACCAAGATGCCTTAGAATCCTAGAATAAATGCTATTTGTCAAGGTTTATTCTTTTAACAGACTAAATGAGTTGAGTTAGCTCTTTTTATTTTTATTTCTTGGTGTGACTAAACTATAGAGCTATAAGAGTTTTTTTCCCCCAAAGGATATATCAGTAATTCTTAGCGTAAAGTCAAAACAATTTATAATGTCAGTTTCTACCCTTGCTCCCATTCAAACTTGTTTCCAGTCCCAATGATAATGATCCGTTTCAAATTAAAATTTTTCAAGGGGTCACAGAGTCTATATAAAGTTGCGTAATTTGGTATTCACTTTGAGATCTTTAGTATCTCACCCAGGAAGATCTTGATGATTTTCGTTGTGACTCCCAATTATTATGTGAAAATTTCATTGCTTTCCTTTTAGTCTCACTGGGTGAACTTCAAGTACCTTCTTAGGGCCGGAGCACAGCATGAGCCCTTGTAGAACAGCAGAGATGGAGGTGAAGAAGGTTGAAAAGGGGCTTCTTTGTGAAAAGTTTAAGAGTTTGCATGTTGCCTTTTAGGCATTGCAGAGCTCCCCAGTGGTATAAAGCAGGGAAATAACATGATAATGTTGTCTCACAGAAATGCAAATCCAAGGGACACATAGAAAATGGATTATAATAACATCCATCAGAATCACCCGGAGCACTAATTGAAACAAAGTGTTTCATAGGTCCTCAAATGGGGACTATACTTTGAGAACTTGTGTATTAAGGGACATGGAGTTTAGTAAGTAGACTACAGACTGACTAGTGGAGGTAAGACATTTCTAAAGAACATGCATCTAGGAAGGGATGGTAGAAATGGAGAAAATGTAGGTGATTAAGTGATGGGTTACTAAGGTGTAGCTGACCTGATTAAATATCTAAAATATGCCTCACTCTGATTGATTGGGTGATTACATAATGTTGATGCTGTTAAACAAATAGAGACTCTAGGAGGTGCAGACATTTTTTGTTTGTTTGTTTGTTTTTTAGAAGGAAGGGAAGAGGGAATCATTTTGGAGACATTGAGGTTAAAGTGTGTATGGAGAAAATCAAAAATTGAATACACAGCTTTGGAGCTGAGAAAACTCTGTGAATGTAATGCACATTAACACTGTGTTCACAAAATGTAGGCCACAAACTTATCAAAAGAGTCTTTTTCACCCGAAGTCAAATACAAGTTGTTTTATTATAAATGCCACCAAATTCCAGAACAGCTCAGAGGTATTATTCATTTTGTAATTAAAAAAGAATTCTTTAACATTTGAAAAAGAGTATCAGAAGAGAACTTATATAGAAGTCAGTAAAGAAATACAAGCTAGAAAAACCAGGACACAGTTCCTTTCTGACATACGTGGATAATTACAATGTTAATCAGACTATCAATATTTGTCTTCCTGGAACATTTCTAAACCTGGCTCAACACATATTCTCTTAAGATTGCTTCTGGTTGGTATAAAACAAAAAAAATAAGTGTTTTGTTTTGTTTTTTTCTTTTTCTAATAAAGACATGGATAAATAAAGGTCAAAAGTAAGAGGAAAATGGGATGTCCTCATTTTTTTTAATGTTTATTTATTTTGAGAGAGAGCGAGAGAGAGTGAGAGAGAGCGAGCATGTGTGAGCAGGGTAGGTGCAGAGACAGAGGGGAAGAGAGCATCTCAATCAGGCTCCTCGTTGTCAGCACAGAACCAGATGCGGGGCTTAAACTCATGAACTACAAGATCACGATCTGAGCTGAAATCAAGAATCGGATACTTAACCAACTGAGCCACCCAGGCACCCCCTCAATTTTTTTAGTGGTTGCTGTTACGTTTAAAATTCTTTTTTTGTTAAGATATTCTACCTTAGAAAGCAGCCATAAATTTCTGAAGAGGAAAGTTTGCATATGCAATATTTGATATGATTTTCTTATATTAATCCATTTAATACTTCTATGCATTATACTTCTATGCAATGAGTAGATCAGTGCTTATGCCCCGAGGCTCTTACACTCCCACACACCCACATATAATGACTTCTGTAAGAGAGAACTCCGGCATCAAGAACAAGGAACCAGGTGGAAGGCAAAGAGCTGCACAAAAACGTAGTTATAATGGCAATCTGGGAAAAACAGGCACAAGAGTGGGAAACCAGAGAGCCTGGGAAATTCAGTTTGGCTGATCCCCCAGATTGATGGCAATAGGCTTTGAAAGGGCTGATGCCTCAGAATGGTGGGATGAACAGAAAGGTGTGATCCCAGTTTGATAAAGACTTAGAAACAAATGGAGCTAAATAAATGGCTATAAAATAGAAATGGAAAGTAAAAACATGAGACTTCTTTAGTCAGGGAAGTCACACCACCAGGAAAATTTAGAAGTGGCACAGTAAAGGCTGAGAGAAAGAGAGTGGGAAAATGTGGGAAAATGCATTGTTCCTCAATGCAGGGAGAACAAAGTAAGAAGTAAGACCTGTTGGAATCCTAATGACATTCCAAGTTTTCCTAACAATAATTTGTCCCTCAGGCAATGTTACTTGAGTTTTTCCTACCATACGGCTGCCATATCAGTCCTTCAAGTTCAATCTATTTCTATTAAAAAGTGACTTTGTCCTTTGCTTCTTTCTACGTGACCTTTCTAGAGTTCAAAGGGTGCGCATCTTTTGTGGAGGTAAAGCAATCGGCATCTCAAAATCCTTAAGAAATTCCATCTCAGTGGGCTGTGAATATAATTGTGAGAAGCACATCCCTCTTAGGCTGATTCCTCTTGTATATAAGTGTAAGCTAAGGCTAGTGATTCTATTCTACAAAGGAAAAGAAATTCCTAACCCTTCTTTAATCCTACTAGAAGTATATCATTAAAACAAGCAAACAAAAACAATAATCAAACCAGATAAAAGCCTCTTCAAATTGAAGAGATTCTTAACATGTCCTTTATCATAAAGTAGGAAACTCTTCCACAGATTACTCCCAGGCCACTGAGCTGATGGCCTAAAGGCGAATAATGCTGAGAATGAATTTCTAAGCTCCGTTCCATTCTGAACCTTCATTTTTGTAGTTGTCCCTTGATCTGCCCAAGAAGTCACACAAATACAGCAGAAACAGAATCTGCAATACCTAAGAAAAAAGAAATCATTAATGCTAGTCTATTTCCCCCCAAAATAATGGAATGATCACAGTTGTCAGTACAAATGTGGCAACTTCAAAAGGAGATATTAGGAGAGATAACTAATATTTTTGTTTCAAGAAACTACAAAAAAACCCAAATGACATATTACCTGAATAGATGAATGTACCTGAAATCTTTATTGCACCCATATATACTGCTTAGAGGCAATACAATTATTTATAGGACTGCTTTAAATACAATTTGAAAATTCAAACCTGGACCTTGCACAAAATTTAAATAAATCACAAATGTGCTATGCTTTCTTAGCACACAAGACCCTCCATCTCAATATCATGGTGAAAGCAATAAATGGTCCATTTGAAGACTAGATTTCATTGTCTTTAAACTCTCTTGGGGCCATAGGATGCTATCTGTGTTATATCATTGTTCATAAGAGAAATGTGATCATCACCAGGTATGTAACTTTCAGGAAATACTCATTTTCAGTAAGGATTTGGATCCCTGCCGGGATCAGGCAAGTCTTGGAAAATCAAACTGGAAAACAGGTGGACAGGAGAAATTATTTCAACTCACCCTTTGTAGTAGACAGGGGATGAAGAAGAGGTAGGGGAGTGGAAGACAGAGTCATAATTGAGGCAGTTATGAACCAATGCTGAATTATGTCCTCACATCTCTCCTACCAGAGCTCTGAAGCAGCCCCGGTCCAAGCACCACCACTTTGACGGATTTAATGTATGTTTAGCAGCAGAAGTTCAATGCATGGTAGTTGTAATTTATCTGCAAGTTCCAATACTGTAAAAGCCCCCCATGATGTTAAAAAGAAGAAGCCTGACTGGGTTGCTAATGCTCTGGCTGGAAGACTTCTGTGATGTTCACTCTCCTTCATAAATAACTGAAGATAACTATTTCATTGGGGTGATAGAATAAACCAGTGATTAACTCTCATGGATCCTACTTTATGGAACTATTGGCCAGTAGTCACTAGATTGAATCAAAATATAAACTCTCAAACTTTTCTATACTCTCTTTTCTCAGTCCCACTCTCTGGAGAGTTCTACAACTTTTAAAAATGCATGCTAGGAATCATGGTCATGAGAAATTAAAGCATCACTTTCAAATGCAATATAGTTTGGGTCAACTTTTGATTCGTAACCATGCTGATTTTCTAGATCAAAAACCTTAGAATATAGGTTTAAATATAGGTTTTAGAACACACCATAAAATACTGAACTAGCTATTTTAATTTAGTTTGTGGTTAATTACCAAAAAAATTGTTATTCAGTAAAAAGCATATTTGGTATTCGCTTTAGCCTCTCAATCCCAGTGCTTGTTTTCCTTGAATCTATAGGTGTGACAAGGGGCATATTAAATCTAAAACCATCCGAATGCTCAGACTTTCATACATTTTGATACAAAGAAAAAGTGATTCTTGATAATCCTTCAGCGAGTATAATGCACAAATTGAGGAAAATTCATACAGTTATATAAAATAAATTGGAACTGGGTGATGTTTTTGGAGAATTTCAGCCTCCTAAGTTGATGGTTTATATGGTGTTTGACGTTAGCTTTGGTAATTTATTACTCTATTTTATCATATTTTACTCATTATATTTGTTTTCCAGGAAGTCCCTCTCCCTTTTCAAAATACAAACATGTGCAATAGTGTCTCTTTTAAGAATACAATTTAGGGGCGCCTGGGTGGCTCAGTCTGTTGAGCATCCGACTTTGGCTCAGGTCATGATCTCACAGTTCATGGGTTGGAGCCCCGCATTGGGCTCTGTGCTGACTGCTCAGAGGCTGGAGCCTGCTTCAGATTCTGTGTCCCCCTCTCTCTTTGCCCCTCCCCTGTTCATGCTCTGTCTCTCTCGGTCTCAAAAATAAAAATAAAATCTTAAAAAAACCCCACAATTTAATTAAATTAATTAATTTATTTTTGAGAGACAGCAAGCACGTGGGTTGTGCACATGCACAAGCAGGTGAGGGGCAGAGGGAGAGAGAAAACGAGAGAGGGAGAGAGAGGGAGAGGGAGAGAGAGAGAGAGAGAGAGAGAGAGACAAGAGAGTGAGAGAGAGAGAGAATCTTAAGCAGGCCCAGCAAGGAGCCCAATGTGGGGCTCGATCTCATGACCATGAGATCTGAGCCGAAATCAAGAGTCAGACACTTAACCAACTGAGCCATTCAGTTGCCCCAACACTGTTTTTTTTTTATCAATTGGCTAAAGAATGAAAACTATTACTGTAAAAGTGAACTGAGTGCACTCACTGGAAGCATACTACGGACTGAACAGATGTCTAATTTTAATATATTCAAAGTATCTTCCTGGACATTTAGCCTGAAGTGTTAAACATGAATTCATGACTCACCACAAATATTGCCTCCCATTTTAACATGGGCATAGCCATCTACTCCCCATGAGCTTCCCCATGAGTTCCGTACAATCCAATATGGAGTACTTCCTACAAGACACAAAATGGTAACAAGTTCTGAAAACCTCAATGTTTTTCGCGAATGCACGTTTATTTAAAGTCTAATTCTTGATAAGTATAGTAGCTCTGAGCAAAAGATTAAAAATGTAATGTGATGCTAACAGAAACTAGCCACGTAAACTGGAGCTGTAGTTAATGTCACACTCCAATAATGGAAAAATACATGTTTGAAGATGGATAGCATGAAATGAAAACAAACACACAGTTCCAGGGAATTAGGGAAAGGGAAAAAAAGAATTATTAGACATGTATGATAAAATAATGAGCACGTCTGTTTTCCCAACAAGTATTCTAAACATTCCAGGTGGAGAATGCACATTATTTAAATCAAGAATTATCATCATTAACAAGGTATTCATCAGACTGGACGGGGGCAGGCATGACAGAGCATCTACACCTGGAAGTCTACGGAAAAGCTGTAAAGGTCTGAGGAGGACTTAGACATAGAAGGACCACATTTCAGCATTTTAAAAATGATGGTGATCATCTGTTAATTAGAGTTCAAGCTGGAAAATAACCAATCCTGTCTGATTAGCACTTACCCATTTTATCAAAGCCGGTTATGATGACTGCATGATTTGCTTCTCCACTAGAGCAATGGTGCTGTATTATGCCTCCCAAATAGTCTTGCCAGCTCACTGCATCTACTACCACAACCAATGGGCCAAGGGTAACAAGTGCTTTTGCCATTTCATCTTCTTGATCACTACCAAAAGAGGAAATACACAGTCAAGGAGTTTAGCTTTATTTCTTTAATGGTTTGCTTATTTTTACTGAGAGAGTGAGAGAGTGAGCACAAGTAGGAGAGGGGCAGAAAGAGAGGGAGACAGAGAATCCCAAGTAAGCTCCACACCATCAGCACAGAGCCCGATGTGGGGCTTGAACCCATGAACCATGAGATCAGGACCGCAGCCGAAATCAGGAGTCGGATGCTTAACCAACTGAGCCACCCAGGCACCCTAAGAAGTTTAGTTTTTAAGGTAAAGATGTTTTATAAAAGTAACCTATTTAATCTGTGTATGGTTAGGAGTGGGTTTGGTTGCAATTACAGAAGACATAGAGAATGGAAACTCTGGAAGATCGGCAGCCCAGCACGGCTATGAGGCTCCAGGATACTGGAAGCCTGAATCTTTCTGGATTCTTGTTCTGCCATGTGAGGTTTCCATTGCCAAGATCAATTAATGGTCCATGGTGGCTTCTGGAGCTCCATCCATTTAATATATTTTTTAGACAGCAAAGAGAAAAAGTGCTATAATCCTGTCAAGAAGACGTCCCAAAAGTAACATGCAGTTTGTGCATATGCCTGTATGGATCTCATTGCCTAGCACTCAGTTATGGGTTAACTAAGTTTAGCTTCCAGGAAGATGGGAAGTGGAATTTTATAGCTGGCTGGCAAAGTATCCAGCTCTAAGGGGATTCTTCTAATAAGGAAAGTGAGAAGACTGAAGGCATGGAGACATTATCTCTACCATACCACGTGAGAGTCAGGAAACTGACCAACTTCTGTTACTGAATGCCAAATGTAGAAATCATAGGGGAGGGTTATCCCAAAGTGGCAAATGTCATTATTCAACCAAAGAGATGGTAAAGTACCGGGAGAACTAGTAGTAGATTGCAAAGACCCCGAAAGACATAGTTATTGCTCTCACACATGGACATGTACTGATAAAGTCTAATGTTACACAACATTCAGCCTTCATGGATCTGGGAAGTATGTGATCAAACCATTACTCACACTTTTAAAGGTCAGCCTTGTTTGTGAACACTGAAACCAAGTCACTCATATTTCAAGCCATTAAGATAGCATTTGGTAGTATATTGCTACAGCAAGCCATGGTTGGATTGGTAGCTCAAAAGAATGAATAATCCATCATCATATCCAGCTGGACATCAGTTTCTATCAAGGGGTTATTTTGTCCACAGGTGGGGAAAAACTTGAGTGCATAAGAGAATTTACTGAGACAGAAACTACACATTCATTCTAAACATTTATCCATATTACCTGTTAACGTGAAGATCTTTTTCTTGGAGATCTATAAGCAGTCAATCCTAATTTTTGCTCCCGTATTAATAACTTTTTTTCTTTAATATTACCTTGAGAAAGTAGGGTATAGTCTTTGAAGTTCTGCATAGCTAGGTTCAAATTCCAGCTATAGGCTGGAGCCATTCCAGTCACACTGGAGTCCAGTGACTCCAGCAGGTAACTGAAGTCCATCTATGTCGCAAAATCAATATAAGGATAAAATTGCAGGTATGAATTGTATAGCATGCCAACACAGAAATTATACTCTAAATATAATATAAATATCTCTTCCTTTCCTCATTTCTAAATTATCCAATAAACCAATTTTGCTCATCATAGATTTTAGTGTATAATGTGTCTTTTAGTGTATTCAATTTTTTTGAATATTTTATAGTAAAATTTCTGAGTATTTTGTTATCCAAATATGACAAATAGAACAGCAGAAAATGTCCTGTAAATATATGACATCAAAGATCCAGGGACAAGGAGAGCATGATGGAAAGAGAAACATCAAGAAGAAATATTTTTTAGAATGCAAAGGGTAATTAACATTGTAAGATCAAAAAACAATTGAGTAATAGTCTCTGCTTGGAGGCAGCACTAAAGAATAGATATCAAAGATATTGGAGAATATGAAATAGAAGGATATGCCATAGACAAGACTGGCAGGCAAATGTTCTATTTAGCCCCAGAGCCAACTAGCATTGTTATCACTTGTGTTTCAGAAAGATGTTGGCTTTAGCAAGTCAAAATATACTCCAAACAGCATCTTTAATTCCATCACTAGCCAAATATAGGATTATAATTGAACATGAATTGGGGGTTGGGGTGCCGAACCCCTAAATAGTCAAAAATCCTCATGTAACTTTTGACTCCCCAAAACCTTAAGAGTCTACTGTTGACTGGAAGACTTACTGACAATATAAGCAGTTGATTAACCCATTTTGTGTACATTTTATGCATTTAATTACTGCCTACAATAAAGTTAGGGGGAAAAGTTACTATAAAAATCATATGGAAAAGAAAATACAGTACCATATTGTATTTGCTGGAAAAACCCTGCTTATAACTGGAATGTGCAGTTCAAACCTGTGTTGTTTGAGGGTCAAGTGTACTGTCAAAATATCCATTGTTGATATTGGATACATTATCAAATCTTTTTTTATATGCTTACTATGCATTTTATGGACAAGTAAATCTTACAATCTTTGAAAGAATTCTAAAGTTTATTGTCATCAACATTTAGTGATTAAGGTAGGTCTTTTTTGTTATAGAGCCTACATGAGTATGTAGATTTCTATCTTCTCATTCCTAGAATTCAGTGTGTTAATATCATGCCCTAGTTTTCAGTCCATTGTTAATATGGGGTTCCTTCTCTTTTTATTGACATAGTTATTCTCATGTTTACATGGAGTTCTGAAATATCTTTCCTGGGGTCTGATAAACAAAAATGCATGAAGAGGCCTGGGTATAAATGGTAATTTCCTTTCTGACTAGACTAAGTTCTTATTATTCAGTGAGGTTTTGCTTGGTTGGTTGGTTGGTTTAATTTTAGATCTTTTCAGGCTCTGCATAAGTTTTTGGAGTTTTTGGCTGATAGCTGTGCCTGGGCTGACACTGTCTGAAAATACTGAAAAACTAAAGAGCTCATGACCTGAAAAACAGAGGTAGGGAAAAAAAGTATGAGCTTCAGAGCTTGATGAATATGAGTTCTAACGTGGCTCTATAGTTAGTTCACTAGCCTTGTGACCCTCCCTGAGTCTCAGAAACCTCAGATGGAAGTGATGGTATTTAAGTGTTTGGGGCCTGGTTACAGCGTTGCTGTGGAAAATCCTCCCACATCCTCTGGCCCTTACCACTGTGGTGGTGGTGGTGGTGGTGCTGGGGGTGGAGGCTGGGGCGAGGAGGTGGCACAATCAGCCAGGCTTCCAACAAGAAGCCAACTCAGTTCTTTTGCCTGAGGCTCTTCTCTCTTAAAGAGCCAGGAAATCCACCTCCCCACCTCAGTACTATTTTGCTTAATTCGAAAACCCTGCACTCCCTGTTCTGTCTCATTTCCCTATTGCCCTTCTAGTGTTTCTCAGGATTACTGCTGGATCATGATGTTACTTGCTGAATCTGTTCCTGTCTTAGACTTTCATGTCTCAAGTGATAGTTAATTCCATTCTTTCAGTTGTTCAGGCCAAAAGGCATAGACTCATCCTTGACTTTCTCTTCTCTCATTTCTTACATAAAATCCCTCAATATTCTCTGCGGGGCTTTATTTTCAATGAGGGGTATTAACCTATTATGTCTCGTGTCTAAGACCATTCTTCTAACACTGCTCTGAAATTATTGCCAGATAACCTTTATTACCTCATCTCCTATTAGTCTTGTCCATCTTCTCTCCATTACAGTCCCATTGGGCTTCGTTGTTCTTTAAATATGCCACACATGTTTCTGTCTCAGGGCCTTTGCCCTCACAGCTCCTTCCACAGCACATTCCCTAGATGTCTACAGGGCGACATGTCCATGCTTTTCCAGGCCTTTGCTCAAATGACATCTTTTCAAAACCCCTGTGCTGGCCCATGTAATCCCCTTCCTTCACCCTGATGTTTCCCCTTTCTCCCACCATTTTACTTCATTCTCTTTAGAAATGATTACATCTAACATGCTGTATATATTTTTATTTGTTTTCTTTATTGCCTGTCTTTATCACTAAAATACAATTAGTCTTTTGTCTGTTTAGTACACTGCTGAGTCCCCAGAACCTGAAACAATGTTCAGCAAATATTTGAGGAGGAATAAGTAAATCAAAGAAAGGTCTTCTTGGGGGAGTCTAACACAGCTTAGCACTGTATTATCAGAATGTTTATTTTTGGTGTAAACATACAGATTGTTTTTTAGAGGGATCTCTTTCGTCTTAACCAAAGGGTTAGACAGATCTTACTTCAGGCCCAATGCCAGTGACTTTTACATTCTCTCTCTCTCTCACTCTCTAATTCAAACTAATGCCTATTCTTCTTTGGTTTCTTCCTAATTTTTTTTTTTCACTTTGCTACTCACCATGAGGCACTCGCTGAAAATTTTAAGTGACATTTTGAAAATCTAGTTCCTTCTCGTGCTCACACTTCCCTTTTACTCCCAAGGAACTGGTAGCTTATCAGGCACACTTGCTCATTTCTGAAAGTGTGTTTCCTTCAGAAAGATGTGGGATGATGCACTCAGTGATTGCACATGCAGTGATCGATTCTGCGGTCTCTGCGGGATTGAGGTTCTCTGGTGTCTGGTTCCTAGGGTCACCCCGAGAGCCCTTGCTGTGGACAGAAGCTGTGCCGACAATGCACCAGCCCTCTGGTAAACCCGTGCTTGCTTAGAGGGGTTCCATTTTGTTCAATGACTGGATTTCACCCTTGGTTTCCTTCAGATCTCATGGGTCGGCACCCTCTGGATCAAGAGACTCTTTTATATTCAGTATCAGTATGTTCTAGAGTAGTCTGACACCTCAGCTGAATATAATTTACATTCTGCTTTCTCTGTTTCAAAACACTGTGTAAAGTTTTCTCTAGATTTTTTTAAGCGCAAAAAGGAAATGTTTCCCTTGTCCTATTTTGCACTGTATCAAACGGTCACAATGATTTTCTAGCTGGCTTTCAGGTTTTCGTGCATTTTTAAAGCACTTTTTAACGTCTGTTTACCCCTAAACCTACCCAAAGTCATCCTGCCCTGTAACTTCCAACACAAGTCCCCTTCCTCTGCCTATCCTTATCCACGCCCGTGCTTCCTTCATGCCTATAGTATGTGCGCCACACTCTACTTCCAGTAATATGCTCTTACTTGCTTCTGAGTTTCAGTTGATGCTTTTCTTAAAGTTGATGCCTTAAAAAATGCAAGGGTGTTCAAAAAATGCTTCTTGGTTAAGCAGGTTGCTTCATACTAGCTAGAGAGTTACACAAGGCAATTTTGGATTGATTCAACAGTAAGACTGAAATATACTAATGACAATTGCGACAACTCAATTTGTTAAGAGGAAGGTGGTCAGTATAAATTGCACCTTAAGCTGGACTTAAATGTGTTAATTCTATTGTAATGACAAATGGAAAAATAAACTGATCATACGCAAGAAACAATATCCATAGCATTCCATTGGTCTCTCCAGTAAAAAGCAGTTTGTAAAACAATTACAAGTATGCACTGATGCCTTCAATCGAGTTCTTAATTCTGAATAGCCAACAGGTCAGAAATTAAGAAATGGAGGGAAAGACACAATAGGATAAGACAATTACCTGAAGTCATATGCAGAATAATCTTTGATTGAAAATCCAGAATGTGCATCAGAAAAGTAATAGCACAGGCCATTTTGTGCTTTGAATGGGTACTCTGAATCTCTCACCAGTTTTACATGCGTCTAAAAGAAAATAATCATCCAGAATGTTCTCTGTGTAAAATGCAGTTGTTTTAGAATTCAAATAGAACTTACTGCAATATGTCAAAATAAGATTCGACTTGGCTACACCTTCATCACATGGATATTCATTAGGTTATTAAGACCTTAGATTAAGTCTCTAGGCATTTGGTAGGGGCATACTAAGTAATCAGACTCAACTATCTTTCTCTTTAGCTACTGTTTTTCCTATATCTTCTTTCCTTAGAACCTCTTTCCATTGGGTAATAAAGTCTTACCATTTTTCTCCTGAGGTGACAATAGAGCGACCTGTTTTCCTTCCCAAGCAATTAGTTGTGTCAGCAAGTCTTTGAGACTCACTCAGCACAGCGCTTTATGCACAGGCAATGGTCAGGTCAAGCGTTTTTTCTATCCATATCTCTGTGCCATTCGACATACGTCAAATAGGCAAAAGTCACCTATTTTTTAGTTGTTGATACACAATTTTCCTTTTCTGATTCCGCGCTTACAGAAGCCAGGGGGCACACAATTCGTGGTTGCCCCTGATGTGTACTGAGCAGCTTCTGGTATGCAGTGACTCAAAATACAGCAAATGAACAAGGAAAGGATATTCAAATTTGGGGAATTTGAATGTCCAAAGAACACGGAGAGACACTGTGGTGTACGGCATAAAGCCCTCCGGCGGCAAAAGAAGACTTAAGACACAGTCTTGGCTCAGCTGCTAATCTGGCAACAGGATCTCACCTCTCAGGGCTCATTTCTTCATCCACATAACGAGTTACTAAATTTGCTGATTTCTAACATCGCTTATAATCTCAATATTCAAAAATTCTATGGAAATCAATACTCATATGCTCTCATCTTTCTGGGACATGATGCGAATGCATCTATGCAAAAGAGCATTTACCTAGTAAGAAATGCTAAGAAGTAAACATACATATTTTTCTGAAAACAAATCTCCGGCAAGATTGTTCACACTTTGACTTCTCAACAGCTGAAATTTTGAAATCTTCTGATTAATTCAAGCTTTGGTCATTTAAATTTCTGAATTTAGAAACATTCTTTGGTATCTGAGAGTAAGCTGTTTAAATTCTAAATGCATGTTAACTAAACAAAAGCAGAAACAACGGGTTTGAAAGGCTGAAAAATCACCTTATTCAACCAGTCCAAAGCATTGAGTGTGGACCCTCCATTGCAGCCGTAATTATTATATGAACAATCAATGACCTGCTGAACACTTAGGTCTTCCAGAGGCTTCCCTTTTATTGCAAATGCAGATTCCACAGCACCCACCACGCTGAAGGCCCAGCATCCCCCACACTGTTTAAAAAGACAGACAGCATAGTATTTATCATCAAATCATGTTCACACCAAGTTTGCAAATATCTCTGAATATCACAAATTATCAAGGTAATTCACGTGAACAGAACCTGGGGGACTGCAAAATATTGCCCATCCTGTAGATTTTCAAACTGCCAAAAGAAAGGAAAACCGAAATTCTCTTGTAAGCATCAAAGTATAATCATGAGAAGAGATAAATTGGTAGTATAGCTATTGTAAAGTAGACCATGCAATATAAAAATGAATTTTAGAGATTGAGAAAACACTTGGACTAAGTGATGGTCTTTTATTTTTTTTTTTAATTTTTTAATGTTTTATTTATTTCTGAGAGAGAGAGAGAAAGAGAGAGAGAGAGAGAGAGGGAGAGAGAGAGGAAGCATGAGCAGGGGAGGGGCAGAGAGAGAGGGAGACACAGAATCGGAAGCAGGTTCTGGGCTCTGAGCTGTCAGCACAGAGCCCAAAGTGGGGCTCGAACCCACGAACCACGAGATCATGACCTGAGCCAACATGGGACGCTTAACTGACTGAGCCACCCAGGCACCCCGTGATGGTCTTTTAAGGACTAATCAGTTGGGGCACCTGGGTGGTTCAGTCCATTGAGCGTCCAGCATCGGCTCAGGTCATGATCTCATGGTTCGTGGGTTCAAGGCTCGCGTTGGACTCTGTGCTGACAGCTCAGAGCCCAGAGCCTGCTTCAGATTCTGTGTCTCCCTCTCTGTTCCCTCCCCTGCTGCGCTTTGTCTCTCCAAAATAAATAAACGTTAAAAAATTAAAAAAAAAAAAAAAAAGATGAATCAGTTCACTGAATGGGACTTCTGCTTTAAGGAAGTGTACCAACTTCTTGTTTCTCCCCAGATATTCTGCTGCTATGGCATCCACCATCTCCACCCCAAGGGTCAGAGGCAGTGATAAGGTGACATGGGGTGAGGATGTATGTCATATATGTTGTACTCATTATTTGATGGACACAGGAACTGAATGATTTACCTTTTAGGCTGTCAAGGAGCCAGCATGGGCATATGATGTATACATATAAAATATCATAATGATAAAAACCCATATTGGTCATTCCTCATTCAAATATTGCCTGACAATCTTTCTGATTCTGGATCTATTAACTTGATTTTATTGAACAAACTGGAACAAAAGAATCAAAGTGTTGGTCCTGAAAAAAAGGGAAAAGACAGAGGAAATGAAATCAAGGATCATGCACAAGGAAGAAGGAGCTGTAGAAAAGACACAGGTAAGAGTAAGACTTGAAACTGGGCACTACTGACTTAATCACAGGATGTGGGCTGCAGAGTTGGGCAAAGAAAGGAAAGAGAATAATTGGTCGTTTTTGTGGAGTAGAGTTGAGCAACTTTATGGCTCTAATATTTCCAGTGCCAATGGCATAGGGAAATATGCAGTAAGGAACTCTACTGGGGGTCTCCACCCCTTGAGAAAAGAGAATACAGGTTGCTGGCACCATACCAATAGCTAGCTTAATTTACTTCCCCACAGCTACCCAGGAAGGCAGTTTCTGCTCAAAAATATCTCGCCAGGATATTTGGGGTTTTTTTTATTATAAACAGTTTTTTAAATGTTTAGTTTTGAGAGAGAGACAGAGAGAGAGAAGAGACAGAGCACGAGTGGGGAGGGGCAGAGAGAATGGGAAACACAGAATCCGAAGCAGGCTCCAGACTCTGAGCTGTCAGCACAGAGCCCAACATGGGGCTCGAACCAATGAACTGTGAGATTATGACCTGAGCCAGATGCTTAACTGACTGAGTCACCCAGGCACCCCTTCACTATATTCCTTGATTAAAGATTACTAATTTGGGGGCAGGGCGCATCGGTGGCTCAGTCAGTTGGGTGGCCAACTTTGGCCCAGGTCATTCATGATCCCGTGTTTCATGGGTTTGAGCCCCTTGGCGGGCTCTGTGCTGACAGCTCAGAGCCTGGAGCCTGCTTCAGATTCTGTGTCTCCCTCTCTCTCTGCCCCTTCCCCACTCGTTCTCTCTCTCTCTCTCTCTCAAAAATAAGTAAATATTTTAAAAAAGCACCCCCCCCATATCTCTCATTTAAGGGGGAGAAAAAAGATTACTAATTCAATTGTATTCCTTTAATACAATACAGACACTTTCTGGAAGGATTCCGTTTCTGACGAATTGATATTCATTATGAATTCAATAATAAAGCAAAAGACTTGGTGGTAAAGTTTAAACCATAACAACGAATATATAATCTGAGCAGTAAAAAAGGAACATCCTAACTAGACAGTGACCGAGAGACGGCTGGGTCTGTGGTTGTTACGGAACCAGGCCGGATCGCTGGCGGAACAACCAAGCGGCACTGAAACTCGCAGATCTTGGTGGATCGGAGCTTTATCTTACACCGGCGGGCTCGGAGGAGATCTTTCTCCAGAGAACTGGGGCCTGAGCACAAGCATGGGGGACAATGTATACTCTGTTACTTCTGCATTAATAGTAATTTGGTGCACTCGGCAAGCAAGGCAGGAAGAAGAACCCGGAAGAGGAGTCTCTAAGTTAGGGACCAGAGCTTATGTTAGTCCCATAGACCATTTTATGGTGCATGACTTTACTTATTTTTCCAACAGTTAAGGGGTTAACTTTCCCCGGTCAGCTGATGTCCCCTTTGCCAAAGGTGGAGGTTCAGAGGGGTAGGCTTAGCTTCAAAATAAAAGTCAGGCTTTGGCATCAGTGTCTCATTTCACCAGTCTCCCTTCGTTGTCATTTCTGGATTTTACCCAGAGAAATGATGGCTTCCATCACAAGTTTCATTGAACTGGACCTCAAAGGTGACTTCCCATGTTAAGACGATTTAAAAAAAGAAAACAACAACAACAAACAAACCCCCCTGAAACTCACGGTCTGCTGGTTTCTCACTTGTGTTACAACACGCTTGTCCCGCCAGTCGAATCTTAATGGTAAAGACATGTTGGGTATGGATGTTTGCACTTCTGCTCGGTATCTGGGCGATCTGGAAGGTTTGCTTCTTAAATAAATAGCTGAATAGAAACGTGGAAGGAAAAGGCAGCCAACGTTATATTATAGGGATTCTTTTTGGAGGAACTTTTCAAACAGAAACAGTAGCTTTCTGGTAGAACCTGTCATTTGAGATTCCCCTGTATGCTTTCTCATAACATGAAATGCACGTACTGAAAGCTACCAAGCTAGGAATTCCTACAACAGAGCTAGCGCTGCCACATAAAACGACTTGTCTGATGGAATTTGGTCAATAATAAAAATGAGTCTACGTGACATCATTGGTATTCTCATAACCCACGGAACTGTGGATGTCTTGAATAGAAACAGCATTAAAAAACTGCAGAAAGGATGAAACATTGGCCCTTACAGCCACATATAAATGCCTATAATTATAACACTTAGATCTTAAGCAATGATTACAAGAGAGGGACCATGAATTAATTTTTCTGTCAGCTCCTGGAACAGGCTTGACATTCAGTATTTAATCAATGTTAACTAAGAATCATCTTACTAGATTCACAATTAAACAATTCCTCAAAAAACTAAGGAAACAAATCAAAATCCAGAAACCAAACAGCTAACAGCACAATCACACCGTACCTTTAAACTCTTCCGGAAACAAATAAGAAAACTGATTTATCCCATAGATGGCACTGGAGTTTTCACCAGGGAATACAGAATTCAAGTATCGATGTCTATGCAGACTTTCCTAAAAGAAGAAAAAAGTTAATTGACATCACCTACATTAACTTTGCAGAACAATTTACGTGTAACTAAATTAGACATATTTTCCATGTATTAAAAGCCAAAGCTTCATTTATTTCCTGCAGGTCATGATGAAAGACTGCATAAGAGGCCCAGATGAGATTTATAGACACTTGTATGAAAACTTCCATCTGATTTCAGGTACATTTTTGAGGCTGGGAAAGGTATCTCTTCCCCATTTATAATTCCTCTTCACTTAGCATGCTGAAAGCACTAAATATGTGTTTGTTTAATACACTGGAAACAATAAATGAATTCCAAATAAACACTAGATGCTAGTGAAAATTATCACGAACTGAAACTCATTAAATTAAAAAATTATGACTTTGAAAGGTGTTTCTTTGTATTTCACAGCACTACATAACAAAGCATGAAAAAAAGAGATAAGTAAATAATCAATAAATCTGATTCTTTTTGAGCTTTATAGATATCCCTATCTCATAAGGATAACAAGGCTTTATGAAAGAAAGGCAATCCTGGAAATGTTCCAGGAAGATACATTGGCTTGTCTATCTGGAGGGAAAATATGACCATTATTTACAGATTACTCAGCTATGAATTTTTTAACATATCTTAACCTATGAGAAAATGCTTCAATTTCCTTATGCTAACCAACCATGCAGGATCAATAAGACTTCAAGGGACTACCATTTGGTGAGTTTCCAACTCTAGCTCTTATATATTTGTTTATGCATTTATGTGTTTATTGTGTGTCTGTATATTAATCCTATAAGTGAAATGAGGGCAAGAACTGACTGTCCACGCCTGGCACACAATAGGTGTTTAATTAGTATTCGTTGTTGAATAAATACACAAACGACATTTTGCATTCATACTCTAAATAGCTTTAGGCTGTTTATTTTTAAGCAGATTATTACTGAAACTTACCATAATCTTATTTTTTCCTTACTGAGCTTTCCTGGAAGGATTATTAATGAAATAATTAACGCCCAGTGTGGAGCCTCACACATCAGGATCCTGAGATAGTGACTGAGCTGAATGGAGAGTAGGACACTTAATGGACTGAACCTTCCAGGCACTCTGGCGAGGAGTTTTGTACACAATTGTCTCCTGCGTATGGCCTCTTGACAGGACCAGTATAAATAACTATATAAATACATATACTTATAAATTATATAAATAAAAAATATATTTATTACTCTGGCTTCCTTGTGCCTCCAATCCTCCAAAGTGATTTTCTTTTTTTTTTTAATTTTTAATGTTTTTATTTATTTCTGAGAGAGAGAGAGAGAGCATGAGCAGGGGAGAGTCAGAGAGAGAGGGAGACACAGAATCTGAAACAGGCTCCAGGCTGTGAGCTAGCTGTCAGCACAGAGCCGGACGCGGGACTCGAACCCACAAACCGTGAGATCATGACCTGAGCCAAAGTGGGACGCTTAACGGACTGAGCCACCCAGGAGCCCCTCAAAATGATTTTCTTGAGGAGTAAGGCAGTGTGTTTATTTATTCAGCCAATGAATGCATTATCAGCATAGATGAGATGAACTACATTCTCCCTAAAGGGTTTGGGTCACCACAGTAAGCAACCAAGCTCAGGACAGCGGTAGAATATAGGACAGGAAGTTTGTTCTCAAACAATGGTACCAGTGCTTCTGATTTTAAAAGCTAGACTGTAACTCAGGAGCAATAAAAGGCATCTTGGTGTGGGCAAAGAACAAGAGTAGGCAGAATCAGGCAAGGTTAGGACTTCCTAAACAGGAATTTTCTAGGGGAGAAAGGAGGAGCGGAAAAGAGTACAGCTATAGAATTCCAGGAGAAATCCCAGCAGTATATCAGAAAAACAAAAACAAAAACAAACCCACAACCAGATATAATTCCAATAAGCAGTATTACTAAATTCGTACTTACTTTTGATTTTGAACAAATCAATTTTCTTTTCTAATTTTTTTTAACGTTTATTTATTTTTGAGAGATAGAGACAGAGCATGAATCGGGGAGGAGCAGAGAGAGAGGGAGACACAGAATCCGAAGCAGGCTCCACAGAATCTGTCAGCATAAATCCCCACGCAGGGCACGGGGCTCGAACCCACAAACTCTGAGATCATGACCTGAACTGCAGTCGGACGCTTAATCAACTGAGCCACCCAGGCGCCCCCAAATCAATTTTCTTAGAATGAAATGATGACGTCTTTCATGATTTAAAAAATCGTTAAAAGGCATCAGATGTAGAGAACACAGCGAGGCAAGTTCTAAATCGGCATCTGTTGGTTTCAGTAAAAACCTATTTATATGCAGCTAACTTGGTCCATTCCAGAGTTTCAATGCTGGGGTGAAATCTAAGCATTCTTATAAAGACTTGAAAATAATGTGAAAAGGAAACTAAATGCTTCCCCTTTTTCAAAATCTATCTCCATCAAGTCAAGAAAAATTTTAAGGTCGCGGCACCAATTTATGGAGTCCCAGTTCGGGAAAATCATCAATGGGCAGCATTCTGTGCGCCTTACAAATGCAGGGCCTTCTTTGTTTAGAACATTGAGATTACAGGGGGTCACCAGCGCCCCCCTGCGGAAGGAAAACAAACTGGTTTCTTCCGCCTTTATCTATTTCTTGTTAACTGTAAAGGAATGGCTATGGAAGGCAGTGACAGCAGTCCAGGGGACTGCTAAACGGGATCCCCTTTTACATCTCCATTTTATGTCCCCTTGGGACATATCCACTGATTACTTTGGGCGCATCGTATAAATCCACGGCGACGAATCCTCCCTGGAAAATCAAACCTTTTGTTTAGCCCAGGCAAGGGAGAGAGCTGGCACGTGAGGAAGGGCGGGAGCAGCTGGCTTGAGAATTGCTCAGAAACCCCAAACCCATCACTGATCTGCGGGCCGGGTGACCCCCAGGCGTGGCGGCTCTCACTGGTCCCCCTGCCCCAGCCCAGACCCGGGACAGGAAGGGGCGACCAGGAAACAGACACAGGCCGGCGCGCGCTCGGTACCCGGAAGGCTGCTGCCTGTCGCTCGCGGCTCCGCGGCTCCGTCGCCTTGAAGGGGGCGCGGGGGTCCGCACCGCGGCCGCAGCAGCAGACGCAGCAGCAAAGCAGCCAGAGCCGCCGCAGCGCCCACGGCTCCATCCCCGCGCCCCGCTCCCGCCGCCCGCTTTCTCTTTCGATTCCTCGGCTCCTCCCCCTCCCGGGTCTGCGGGGCGGGAGCGGCGGAGCCGGGCGCGGGTGGCTGGAGAGTCCGACGCGGCTTTAGATCCGTTGCTCTGCACGTGCGAGTCCGGTTAGCTGGAAACTTAGGGTGCTCGCTCGTTTTTTGTGGAAGCAGTAGGCACATAACCATGTGCGTTCTGGTGTCGTATCCCAGCAGGGACAGGGAGCAAAGCCTGAGGCTCCTTGCGCCGTACGCGAAAATGTGGACTATTGTGTCACCTTCCCTTCCGGAACGAAGAAGTCCTTTATTTTTCTTGTTTTTATCTCAAACTCAAAGATCCAGGCAGTATTTGAATTTAACTTGGTTTTATTCCTATTATTCCTTCTGCGACGGTCTCTGACATTCAGTACCTAATCCTAAAATGTTAGCGAATCCACACAAAGGTATTCGTTTAGCAGATGTTTGTGAATACGTCAGAAAAACTTATAGTTGTGAAAGTGCGCAATTTCTGTATCTGAATATTGTGGCCGTTTCAAAACTCTCAAGCCTGTGTCTCCATTTGCAAAGAAAGGCAGAGGTAGCACGTATTTCTGAAGGTTGTGAAATTTAAATACAGTAATTCACCTAAGATCCTTGCATATTTTAATTGTTCGGTTTTAGCTGTTTATTATATGTTAAGGTAGCCTCCCCCCCTTATTTTATTATTGGTAATTGTTTTCCACCTTATCAGCTTAGTTCCCTGAAACCAATTCTTCACGCTTTATTATTTTTTTCAAACCACATCGGTGAGGTTTCGGGGTGATGGCGGGGTGGTCCTGAGCCCACAGCCAAGAAAGAATTCTTGAAGATGCCTTTGGTGCAAAAAGGTGATTTTATGGAAGCAGGGGACAGGAGCCTGAGGAGAAAACAGCTGCACTGGGGTGGTGAAGAATGGCTGGCTTAACACAATGAAGTTGGGGAGATAAAGTCAAAAGGCCTCCCGAGGAGCGTTGATATGCTAAAGAGGACCTCTAAGATGCCTGAGGCCTTGCTATTGTCAAGCTAAGGTGGTTTTCCCTCCAGTAAAGCTTTAAGGTTAGGAGGGTGGGGGAGAAATGTTAATAATCTGTATCTGCCTCAAGTATTTGTCAATGGGCTGCAGGTTCTGAGGAAATTTAATTTTACCTGCCATTTCCACCTTGCCTTTGTTCCCCACATCGTTACTGAGGGGTGATGTTGGGACTCCAGGAAACCGAGTCTATAGGTTTCTGGAGATTAGGCTATTGATAAAAATGAGGTCTTGCAATTTACCAAGACAATTGCAAACTGATGGAGACCCACGTCCTGTATGACTGTGATCTCTTCTCAGCCAGTTGTTTGCTTTCCTCTTCTTTGTCTTTGGGCAGCCAGAAATGCCTGAGGAATATCACACATATGCCACCCTGGGTGGGGGTGTGGGGGGTGTGGAGTGCTAGCTTGTATTTTGCCCTCAGCCAGTCCTGGAGAATGGACTGCAGAAGGAGCAAAAGTACAAATCAGTTAACATCCCAATCTGGCAGTGTCTCCGCTTAGGGATTTTCTGGTGGGAGGACCCTTGAAGAATTCCTTCTCCCTCCCTCCCTCCTTCCCTCTTTCCTCCCTCCCGTCCTTCCTTCCTTTCAGTTTATTGATTATGAGAAACAGAGAGAGAGCAAGTGATGGAGGGACAGAGAGAGAGAGAGAGAGAGAGAATGCCAAGCAGGCTCCACACTGCCAGTGCGATGCCCAATCTCGCAAACCCAGGAGACCTGAGCCAAAACCAAGAAGCGGCCCCTTAACCCACTGAGCCACCCAGGTGCCCCAAAAGATTCCTTTCAACTGTCCATTGTCGCAGGTGTCCTGGATTACTCTTGGAACGACACAGCTCTGTTTCTCAATTCTAAAGCGCACAGGAAATAGAAATTCTGGGCAGGTAAGTTTGGAGTACTTTTCTAACAACTCCCAGGGCCGGCCGCTGCCGCTGGTGACGGCACGGGCCACACTTTGAGTAGCAAGCGCTACTGCTATTTTCTCCAGTTCTCATGAGGAGGGGGAATGGGAAGAAGGCTGGGGTGTCGAGTTCAGAAATTTCTGTATGTTTTTCTTGTCATTCTGTGGTAGGAACCCCTCCCTAAGGAGAAAGAGAAAAAATGAAGAAGAGAGAAGACTTCAAGGTCACCTAGATATGGGTCCAGGTGCCTACATCCCCCATGTTCTTGTAAACTGAAACAACTTAATCAGACTGCACGTTTATGTGTGTGTTATACCCAGATTGCAGTATCCTCACCGACCAGAGACCACCGGGGAGACTGAGTCACGTATGCAAAGGCTTTATTACGGGCTCGAGCTCGGACTCACAGACTTCACCAGCGCAGTGGATCCGTGCTGTGAGCCTCGAACAAAGGCAGAGTAGGGTTTTTATGGGGTTTGTGACGGGGGAGTTAACAGAAGTTGTTGACATAGGAACAATGATCCAATCATAATTATACAACATTATTGACAGCTGGTTTGACCATACACATTGTCTAGAGTATTTGTTACTTTTGGCGAGACCCAATTACAACATTTAGAGTACTTTTAAAATTTAACCAATTACAGAGCGAGCCTAGGGTCTTGTTCGGCGCCTAATGGGTTAACTTTAACATTCGGTAACAGAGTTTTACCTATAGTTGCCGGCCTTTCTTGATTGGGTGTTGCCAAGGTAGTGTGGTGGAGTGATGTGGTGGGCAGTTTCTTTGGCCTTGGGCATTGTGTAGCTGCCTGATAGTTCCAGGGAATCTGAAACTTAGGCCTTCTAGTTTAGAGGGGAAACTTAAAGCCTGTTATGGAGTCAGTCTGGTTTAGACTTGTGTCCTTACACGTGTTACAGTATATGGGAGACAAATAAACAGAAAATGTATAAAAAAAACTATGCCATGTGATGTGGGCCGCTCAGTTCTTTTGGGTACGAACCCAACTGAGCGGTGCCGGCATGAATAAAGTTGCTTCCTGGAAAGAAAAGCCTCGGTGTCACGACTCTCTGAGCGAGAATCCCGCAACAATTCTACCTCTGTTTACCTCTTTGGACAGTGAGTGGCAACTGCGTACTACTGTCTTCTCGGGGCTCAGGACAAGCTATGTAATTTGCAGTGTAAAACAAAAATGAAAGGCCTTTATTCATAAACTATTAAGAATGCCAAGACAGCGACATTGCATTAAACCGAGTAAGGGGCCCTTCTAATTACAAGGTCCTGTGTGACTGCACAGGCCATACATCCATAAAGACATCTCTAATGGACCTTTATATGAGACTTTTTTTCTAAATAAGCCTTCGAGAAGTCTTCAGAATTGATGTCATAGCTCTCTTATACTTTTTAGAAGAACCATCTGATTTACACATTTAGTTTTTGTCTGGGTAAAGTGGATAATGCTATTCTATGATGCAAAACTGGTGATAAAAATAATGTACATCTGTTTTGAGTATTAAAAGGAAAGACATGAAATCTTTTTATGGGCACATAGGATGACATATATTGTTCTTTGAATGTGTAATGGTTATGATTTAATTTAGGTAATCAGTGTACAGACCAATGCCCATCTCAACGTCTTTAGTTCTTCTGCACCTGGTCCTTTCTTTTGAGTCTCTCATGCTAACAATTTTTATTTTTAAATGGAGGTTTGCTGTTAGATCATTGTTACTATTTATTAACAGCTTACTGAGTCAGAAAATTTAAGTGTAGCAGCAATTCTTAACACAGGCTAGTTGGTACTATAAAAGAGCTATTTGAAGTAAATTTGCTTCCTGAGCTCACATCCACAAACATTCATTGAGCACCTATTAAGTGCCAAGCATTGTTCTAGGTAATGAGGATATGTCAGAACAGTACATGACTAAAGAGACAAAAATCCCTGCCCCATAGAGCTGGCACCCTGTGGGAAGAGATACATAATAACATTAGTAAAAGTTTTTGGAACAATAACAGGAAAAAGAAAGTCAGGAATGTGATAGAGTAGGATTGCACTTTTAAGTAAGATGTTTGGGATAGATCTCAAGGAGGCAGGGATATTGATCAAAGATAGGAAGGGGTGAAGTAAGACATTCAGATATTTGGAAGAACAGCAACTAAGATAGATAGAAGCGATAGCCAACTCAAAGGCATATTTGAACAGAATATTCTGGCATATTCCAGAAACAGAAGAAGTGAGTGGAGTGGAGTGGGATGAAAGAGGGCAGGAGTAGAAGGTAAGAAGGACACAGATTGTACAGGTCCTCGTAGGCTGCTTAAAAGGGGAATCAAAGTGACCTATTAAATAGTTTAAAAAAAAGGGGGGTTATCTTTTATCTTGAAAAGTGAAGGTTACAAGTATCTGCTAATGCTTAAAATAAACACCATAAATTGCATCTATATGAGAGGTGTCAACTTTTTTATTTTGCAAAATGGCAGGCGGAGCTTCCTTGACCTGTGTATTAGTTATCTATTGCCACATAACAATAGCCCCCAAGTTTAGCAGCTTAAAAACAGGAGTATTGATTATCCCGCATGGTTTCTGTGGGGCTGGAATCTGGCAACAGCTTAGCTATGTGTTCTGGCTCAGAAGGCTTCAGAGGGTGTGGACAAGCAGTCAGAGCAGCTGTAGTCATCTGAAGGGGAATGGACTGCAAGCTCACATGGCTGTTGGCAAGAGTTGTTAGTTCTTCTCAGGCTTTCAGGCAAAACCTCAGATCCTTACCACCTGGGCTCTTCAGAGGGCTGCTTGTGGCATGACAACTGTTTGCCTCCAAATGAATGGCATGCCCTCCCGCTGCTCCCGGTTACCCAGACAAAGCCTGGTGCATTTTGGGGGTTGGGGATTACACCAAGTGTAGATACCGGGAGGTGGGGCTCATCGGTGATGAGGTTTTTGTGGTGGTAGTGGGGTTTGTGGGGTCCAGAGCCAATGACCAAGAAAGAATTCTTGAAGACGTCTTTGGTGCCAAAACGTGATTTTATTAAAGCATGGAGACAGAACCTGT